TGCTGGATAGACCCAATTCCGAAGGAAACTGGATAATGGAGCGTCAGTAGACTCAAAAACATCTTTCTGTATCACGACACTTCGAGGTTGGACAGAAAGTGTTGGCAAAGGACTATCAGAGCAACAAAATCTCTTGGACACCTGGAATGGTTGTGAAAAGATATAGCCATGCTTGCTATGAAGTGGCCGTAGGCGATGACAGATGGGTCAGCCACATCAATCAACTCAGGAGCTGCACCTCATTTGACGGGAAAAATATCCTAACTACGCCACTTGAATTACTTCTGGACGAGTTCAAACCACCAAAAATGGAGACTACTCAGCAAGATAATCCTATCACCCCACCAACCTCTCCTGCACCTGATTGTCAACCCAGAAGATGGACCGATCGTTGCGAGTTCCTGTCACGTCGCTCCAGGTCAACCCCAAACTGAAATCATATAACAGTGGACTTCAAACGGGGAGGTATTAGGAGGAGCACCTCCTAACGAACGGATCAGTGAACCCAAAGAGGATCAAAGTCCATCCATTTTCCAGAAATCGAGCAAGGTAATCGCATTGGCCAATCAATAGAATGTTCTCGCAAAATATAATACGATTGTCGGTAAGTAAAGAAGAGACCATAGAACGTTCTGGAAGGTTCCTGTGAGCCAATAAGTATCAGTACTCTGCACCCTGTAATCATTTCGTGTCTGGCGGTCATTACACTGTCTGCGACCTTGCCCTTTCGATCGGTCAATTGGGGGCGGGCAGGTTTACAGCGAATGGCCAATCGGAGCGGCCGGGGTGACTTTGGTAACCATAGCACTATGTGCTCGCTCGTCGATCGTTGTACTTTTGAGTCGGGCAGTCGAATAACGGAGTTGTGTGAACGCTGTGATGGGAGCATGAGTCTGCTGATCAGATAAAGGAGTGAGCGATTGTTTACAAGGTAGAATGGACAACACAAACAATTAATGTTCAGGACGTGTCGATACAATGTGGTAGTGGGTATCTGTCATCCAGGTCGGAATTGGAGATTTTTGCGACAAACGGGAAGCCACTGATATATGTTCATGTTTGATCAGGAATCACACACTAAAGCAAAGAACCAAATGAACTTGGAGCGCGACTTGCGCTGTGCATTAACCGAAACCGCATTAAATATACCAGAAATTTTTATAACTAAGCAATATCAACCGTCACATTAACGTACATCACTACTTGAGTGTTTAAAATTACCCAGAAATAGGCGTTTCCTTTATTTGAATGATCGAAAGTGACTGGAAGTAGCATTCATTTCCAGTAACCTAAAGCAAAAAGCGCAATCGTTAATGGTAACAGCTTTTTAAACTAGAATGTTTGGGATACTTGTTTGTAGTGAACCCGCTATGTGAGTAACAGCCTCAAAAAGATTACGAACCACTGTCCTATATGACTACCGTTTCATACTCGTCTCTTTGTTTTGTGACTCATCAACTTTGCGCATTTTCTTCTACCATTTATTTGCTCACTGCTTGGTTGCGTTCAGCCATCGTGTACCCGCCCACCCCCCTTCAACTTAACATACATCTCCTCTAGCGCTTTGACCATCCATGGCTGACCCATCCCGAGCAGTCATCGAGCAGTTCAGTTCTCTGGTTTGTACTCCGCAGGTCGCACATTCGAGCCTACACCCGGCTTACGGTGGTCGCGCGGCAGCGAAGCGCCGGTGCGTGTTACCACCGTGCAGCTAATACCTCATGACCGATCCAGATTGGATCGTCTCATCTCCAGTCCTTCGGCGATCTGCGATTGGACGAGGTTGCTCTGGGAATCCGCTGTTCCCCACCTAATGACAGTTTGCATGGCAGGAACGGACAAGCAGCCTTATGTCATCCTAGAACAATGGCACTTGACAGCTACCAGCATAAGCTAAGGTCGACGACTTCTGTTCTTAATAGCCGTTCATTCTCACATCAGATCGGAAGACTGCTCCATTCCCACAGTCTCCGGACTGACCAAACGTCCATGTGACAATTCAGAATCTTATATGAATCACACGGAACGTTTGACTTTAGCAATCCAAAAATTTCCATTTAATAAGATGAATCAGCGTGATGAGTTAGAAATTCTTTTCTGTAAATCTCAACAGACTCAGACAGTCACATAGTACGGGTTGCATGGTTGATGTGCCCAGTTGGGCCAAATATTTAAAAGGATGTTAACTGTACCGGCTAGATCAATGAATCACCATGTCACTGAAGGTGGTGGATTAAGTGCAATATGCACGTACTTCGGTACATTATTTTCACGAACAATTAAAGGTTAACAGGTATAAAAGCAAACCGAATGATCATGTACCGAGAGATGTAGGCGATGTTAAAAGTAAGTGGCGTACGAATTACTTCTGTACGCACAGCTCCGACTTGAGATGGCGAATATAGATAAACTCAGCAATGGATAAATGTTCGTAACCCGCGCATGAATCTATGCGGAATGCAATCGAGAAATCTGGACTGCTTTTCAAAGCCTGCGTGACCGTATTCGAGGAGGTGCGACATGATGGAGCTATTAGAAGACCTCGTTTCGCCTAGATAAAACCACTTCGGGATGTGCTCGCGAATTCTGTGAGATGGGCGCCTCGTAGTACCGCAGGAGCACGAGTATTGCTAAGCAAGCATTGATCGACTCAACCTAGACAGTCTATCCTTCAAGGGTCCTGCGGGTGAAGTCTTGCTATGATATGCTATGCGCAGGCGAGCTGCGAATCAGGTCTTCTCAACAGCGTTTCGTCAGGGTATCAGCCGCAATGTTGACTTTGAATGATAAATGCGCAAAAGTTTCTTCGTGGGAACGCTCATCCTCTGCAGTCTTCCATTTCGTTCTTTGAAATGTTTGAGGATGAATTTTTTCGGGATGCCCATTTGATCTTAGGGCCCCGCTGATCTGCAGTTCCTCGGTAACGGTATCCGGTGTGCACATACTACGCACCCAAAAGTCAAGAGTGCAGACTAGGTTCCTGTTTTACTGTAAGGGAACCGTACCGTAAAATCTTGTATCCTCTCTAGTCCAAGTGCTTTTTCTATACACTTTTCTGCTGCACGATCCATCGGTGTTTCTGTTAATATATACGTCCAGAAGTGGTAGCCGTTCTCCGGACTCGTGCTCACAGGTGAAACGTAGATTCTGTTGCGCGTCGTTGACAGATTTCATAAGCCTCATAGCCTGTGCTTTCGAGTTGCAAAGTATAAGTGTCGTCTACATAGTGTATATACATTTCAACTTCCTTGCTATACTATCTTAGTGAGCTGTACTCCAATTTCGCCATAAAGACATCTGCCAGCTTGGGTCCCAACGGTGACCCCAGGGCAACTCCATTAACTTGACGGTATATCTCCCCATTGAACGTACACTGCACGTTTAGGGTGCACCTTAGTAACAGTCCGTTCAGAATATTTTCCTGGAGATTTAATGGTATGTTCTACCATGGCCCACATCTATCGGTACCTGATCATTCGATTTGCTTTTTGCCCCTGTCAACCTTTGATTGGTCATGAAAATAATGTACCTAGTTGCATTGCACTTAATCTGCCACCTTCAGTGACATTGTGGTTCAACGATTTGGCCGGTAAATTCAACGTTCTAATCAATACTTAGCCCAACTGGGCACATCTACCATATAACCCGTACTATGTAAGTGTTTGACTCTAATGAGATTTACTGAGAAAAATTCTCAACGCAGAACTCTGCTTCATCTTATTACATGTGACAATTTTACCGCCGCTTGCTTTCCGGCTTCATCTTCTCGTGGTTAGTTGAAGACATCTTAAGGGACGCGTGCCTATCAGACATACGTAGCTAATTGTCTGTGCAAAATGTTTGATGCAACTCCCTCCGTTGCTAACTTCGGCGACCATGATTTTCAAGGCGAAAAATTTCCTTTTTATTTTTTCGTCCTTCATTTGCCCTCTGTATGAGACACTGACGGTTTCCAATCGGTCTGCGGGCTTTGTGACTGATTATTCAAGGCCTACCTTGTGATCTGCGGTCGCGGGTTCCGGTCTGCGTAAAGGGCCGGGCGACCCTCGCGGTACTCTTATAGCCCAACACACGACTGTTGATGGTTGTGCGGCAGCGAAGCGTCGGTACTGTGTACTGGTATACTGCTGATGCCTTTGTCAATCACTACGTTAACTGCCTTAAGCAACCGTTCCTTACCTAATCGTCGGTACCTGCGGAGCCGCCCACATAAATTAGTAGTACCGACCAAGCAGTGCAATCGGTTTATTCAATCCACCCACTCTATATGCCTGCATGACCTGTGTACTCAGTCCGGCTTCTTCCCATTTTTGCTCACCACCCACCTCAGTTCGTTTTATTTGCCAATCCTTGCCAACCTTGTGATATCACCGAAGAAATGTGAAGGCCCTACTCAAAAGACTAATCAGCGCTTATGTATCGTTTGTTGACTGGTGACCACCGCAGAGATGAGCAACCTCGCCTCATATGACGCTTTCTCCGAATACTTCGTGTTTGCATTTTTACTGTCATTGTCAAAAGCCAGCTCACCCCGGTGCTCCCACCACCACCTATACCTGGCTATTTTGTTACTTTTTTCATCGTAGCAACATATAAGATGCAGCTACCTCAAGCTACTTTCATCCAGCCTCAAGCTGCCCGTGTGCGTCTGACCTGCTCACCAAGCAGTCCCGTTCTCATAGTAGTATGGGGTTTATTGCGTTTTTGCGAACGTTCGTCACAGCTAGACGCAGCTACACCTGTAGAAAAGCACTAGACGGCGGTTCCATCCTATCGAGACTATCGCTACTGGCGAGTTCCAATAGGACGAAGCGCCCGTTTGACGCTTTCCTGGGTGTGTGCTGACTGTTTCGCTGAGTCTAGCTGCGACGCACGTTCTCAAAGATCCCCTTTCTCTCCCACACTTTTTTCTTCTCAAATCGCCTACGCTATGCACTTGCTTTTTTATTGTTTTACTATTGTTAGTGCAAGCTTTACTGTACCCTTTTCCATTCTCACAGGTGAGGTCACCGTTATTCCGCTCCAGTTCTCCCATGATCTGCATTTTACCGTTAAAAATTGTGAGTCAGTATGATATCTTTTGACCTCTCGCATTTCTGTGCCGTTCAAACTACAACTGGAGATAGCACTCCGTGCTTAGACGCGCACGTGTTCTGATAACGTATTTGATGTTGCTCGCGCTGATAGCCAATGTGTTCTCTCCCATTGCGCCTTATCTGTTATCATTCGTCATGAAACAGACTCTGTCATCCCAATCCTAGATGATTCAATCTTTCGGCAGCGTGGTTCCTCTCTGCCCCCTTTTGTCTTTTCCAATTTACTACTCTTATCAGTGCGTATGGTAAGCGCAACCGGCCGCTGTTGAATGTGGTAAGGATGGCATCAGCAGTACGCCGGCGCTTCGCTTACCCGCGACCACCACCAGCCGCACGTGAGTTTGGTATACCGCGAGGTCTTCCGCACCTACGCGGTTTCAAACTGGTGACCTCCAAATTAGAAGGCAAGCACGCATTCCTTTCGGTCACAGGCTGTTGAATCTGACGTCAGTAAAAATGCTATCGTATGGCGACAATATTGATGGCATCCGTAACGAACTAATTGGTTCGAAACACGTAGTTAGCCGCTTGTTACTGCGTTATTGCCTATCCCTTATGGTTACCACACAGATGCATCATTCTAATTCCTAATAACGCCTTCCCATCTAATCCTACCTCTATGGCAACATGCGACGCTTGGATTTCACACTTATTCATCATCAAAATGGCCATGTATAACATCGACTCAGCCCACCAGGCACAGATGCTTCTGTTCCATTTTGGCAAATGCAATTTCGTGATTGGTTGGCCACCATCTTTACTCCACTCCGTGCTCAGTGAAGACTCTTCTCGGATACATGTGTGTATCTAGATTCGATATGTTATCAGTATGGATAACGCACCTGACTTGTGTGTGTGCAATCCCGCTTTTCATTATTTTTGTACTTCTTGTGCTTCGCAACGCAACCCGTGAACGGCGAACCGGAGGGGGGGAGCACTCCTCATCATGTCGACCGCTGGCCATGGCTGATTTGCATCTTTTATCACTGTTGCATTGGGCTCCGCAACTTCTTCCACTCACTAATAATAATGCATATATTTCTCAATTATGTGAGAGGCTGTCCTTGAATTGGGGACAGATCCTTAGTACAGTAATGATCATGCTCATGCATGAGTGAGATGTGTATACTGGAGCGCATGTGGCATCAAAGCACTCTGAAGCATAGGACTTTTGGTGTTGCTGACTTTTGTGTAACATCTTCCTCCTCACTGCTTATGCATTTCTTGGTCCATCTTGGAAGAACTCAATTGGTTTTTGTGTAGGTTTGTCGCAGTTAGACACAGGCAGACAGCCACCACACATCCAGAAAAGCGCTAGACGGCCATTTCGTCCTACTGGGACTCGTCAGTGGCGCGCACCCGCCGAATCCTCCCGAATTCGAACCCACGACCTTACTCTTGCGAGTCAGTGACTTATGTCACTGATCCATGGGCGACGGCAGCGGACCGCCATGACTGATATCTAATTGCGATATAGCGCGGCTCCTCCTCCACTGTCTTGCATGTTATGAGTGTGCAGAGGACAGGGCTGACCCCCAGAGCAAGGACTTCCTTTGCAAGCCGCCACCAATCAAGGTGGCATGTAAGCTGCTAAGGCGACTACTGATTATTTGTAAGTAGCAGGAGGATTTATTGGGTTTTTGTGTAGGTTCGTGCTTTGCTCGATTAAAACATGGTTATAATAGAGTTCTGGTGTAGGAAATTCCCAAGTTTGGTGCGGAATGTACTTACATTTGTACAGCACCTGATAGTGGCTGGTAAACTATTCCACACCACAAGTTATCTGATGAGGAAGAAGTTGGATTGAATACCTGTCCTGGTTTTCGACCCAATTAGTTTATAAGTCTTGTGAAGTTTCCAAATGAAATTGTGTTGTAGTTCTAATGTTCACAGATTGGAGTGTTTTTTTGGTTTATAAGATTGTGTATGAGCATCGGGTTACTTTTCAGTCGTCGCAACCAAAGAGGCTCGAGGTTAATGCGTTGGCCATGGTCTTGATAGCTCAAGGTGGACGATTTATTTAACAAACGTTTAGTGGATGATCTCTTCAGGTTTTCCAGAGGGTTCCTGTCAACCATACGCTAGCCGTTCGGCGTAACGGCGGTTCGCTGCCACGCGATCACCACCAGTCGCGGGTGGGCTGAGTATATCGTGAGGACGCCCACCCCTACGCGGATTCGAACCGGTGACCTTATGGTTGCCAACCAGACGCGCAGACCACGGCCAGCGGCCGACGTCAACCATACACGTTCTCATAAACGATGCTGCAGTATTCAAGGACAAGAGGTGTGAGTATTTTGAGAAGCTCGATTTTGGCAGGGACTGTATGGATTTTATGGCACATGTTAGCCATAGATCGTTTGACACTTGCTATTTGATACAGCCTGTTCTGATAAATTGAAGTATGAAGAATATCGTATGTCTAGATCACAGTTAGCCTGTTTCACCCAGCTGCGTTCACTATTCAGTTCAACTGAGTACGGAAAGCATGCGGACAGATACAGCCAATAAAGACTGAGCACATAAGGAACCAATCAGGTACACACAAAGAACCATACTGAGTGTTAGCATCAGAGTAGGGCTGTAATCGGAATGCTAAAACAACGACTCCAAACGGCCAATAGGGATAGCGAAGTGATAGGTTCAATATCAGTGAACCACCAGAGCAAAACGTAAGTCTGCATTCATAACCAGTGACACAGGCATACTTGCATTTTTATTGCTCGTCTAACAATCACGCGAGTAGCAAGTCGTCCTGTCCCCTGCGTAGCTCCGAAGTTATCGCTTAAGGCGGGGGACCACTACGCCTATTTGATGGCATCTGGCCTGCATGTTGCTCGTTCAGCAGTCGGCTGCGCGCGGTGCAAAATCTATGGATACCTCTACACGGCAGTAACGTGCAGGCCAGTGGATAGTGAGCGGCGCTATATCACATCTAGTAACAGTCGTGTCAGTCATTGCCGTCCTCCATAACCCATGGACAAGGTGCAATGCGCGTTGCTGACGATTCCCGAAAGGATGAAACGGCCGTACAGGGACTTTCCGAGCCTCTAATGTCTGACTGCTTGGGTATAGTTGTTAACTTGTACTTACACCATTCAAATTCCCCTACTACTCTCTTGTAATTGAATACTTATCAATCGAAATAAATTTCCCCTATTGCTAGGGCATTTTACTTATCTCTGGTCACTTTCAGTGCTCTTTTGGGATTCGCAATGTTGCATTGCTTCCATTCCCCCTCTCTCCTGTTTAGCTGTGCTCTCCATCTACATGTCACCCACCGTTTATGCGGGCTTCGGTATGCCTTGTGAGAAGATCAAAGAAAAACCGCGCATGATATATTACCGTAAGCCGCGCAAATCTGCACTTCATTTCATTTGGTTTTGTGTAAACTTGTGCCCTCCTCATCTGATGCTTCTCTTCCTACGCTGCTTCTCACATACTGATTCTTTATGTCGAAAATACTACTGTGGAGTTAAATCCATTTCTCTGGAGCCACCATATCCAACACCGTTTGCGAGCGTTCTTCACTTGTGCTTGTTCTCTCACCTCGCACAGCGTTCAAACCTGAGAAAACTAATCATGCTCCTACCCAGAAAGTTCTCATCTTCGGAGCCACTTGGTAGCGTCAGCTATGCTTCACGGCGACAAGGCAGGACGTTAGTGTAGCACGCTCGTTTGTGTGTCTCCGTGACTCACTGATCCACACTGGGTGGTGTTTTCCGTGTGACTTCAGCACCACTCATGCCTGTCTAGTCATTGGTTGCAGCTCAGACGAAATTTGCCCCACCATTCTTCTCAGCGAAGGTTAAGATGAAGTCGATGAGTCTCTTTCCTAACTTCCGTTTGTGGGGGGGGGGGCAACAGCTTACTTCATATCGAACACTATGGGCGCCGTGGATTCATTTTGACGGTTGGAGGGCACAATTTTTGCAAGTTGATTGGCTACGACCGCCCCCCATACCAGGCGACTCCTGAACAATTAGACGTAAACACTGAAACCCCTCCTAAACTGTATACCTTGGTAGTTGGCTTCCCTTAGGCAGATTCTTATAGCACTCTACACCCCTAAGTTAAACTTGCTCCCCACAGCTTTTGCATACCATTTTTTGTCAGAGGTAAGAAATTGCTACACTTGACACAACTCTCTTTTGAATGCAGTCGCCCGAGAGTGCATCTACTGTTGTATCACCCTCGCTTGACTACGCCACTATTAGTCGGAACAACAATTCGGCTCTTGGGGACTGTGACTTACGTGCATAAGGGCCTGGTAGAATTCCGATCGACGCCACCCGTGGGATTTAGTCGGCCAACGGTCCTTCTTCGTTGTACTGTGACTAACATGGCCACTGCACGACTACTCGAGGCCCCGAGAAAAAAGACAATGACCTTCAGTGGAAGCGCTTTCACGACACAAGCCAAGGCTGGAGACGGTCTGTGCAACCTGTTATTTATGCATGGATGGTATCGTTATCGGGGGGGGGGGCGGTGTAGTTGCCACTTACTCATGGAATGAACGTAATTAGCACCCGACAATGGTATCATTAAAGTGATCACTCAATCGGCGACGTGGTAATAGTGTCTCTTGGGTAGGATAGAGATAAATACCAACTGACATCGATGTCATCGATAGCGCATCGCGTAACCCTTCCACAATAACATGAATCGAAAAATTACGGGACAGGAAAGGCGTCCGGCGCGAAGTTTTGTAGAACCATGAGGTCTCCACAACATCTACGCACATAAAGTCGTTGTTTGTGCTCTTTTCTTTTATACAGGGATCTCAAAGTGCCTTCACTTGATAGTGTAAACTGAAGAGGCATCTATCTGAATTCAGAAACAATGGACGGGATATCTGTATATTGTGACTGCCATCTCTCCACGAGAACCCAATGGGTGTGCAGAGTAATTCGCTGGGATAGCGAGCATCCATAAAGTACGTCAGGTGTAACCACCCACGACCCCATTCATCTGCAATCATCTTCCCAGATGTCGCTCTCATTCTTCATCGAGGGTTGCTTTCGTGTTGTTTTTCTTCGCACATCTGCAGCCCTCGGACTTTCACCTTGTGTTCAGACGTTCTTTTGGCAATAGCTGACCCGTTCCTTCCATACTACTGGTTCTTCGTGCCGCATTAACCGCTCCTTCTGCACAACACGGTTACGTCGACGGTACATCTTCCTAACTGTTCCCACCATCCCAATATACCATTTTGCACGCATGTTAGCGAATTGTACCAAGCTTTTAGCGTGGCACATTTTCGAAGTCGCGTGCTGTGCATTCAAGTTCGCGAGGCTAAGAACGCTGTTTTGGCGTTTTTGACACTCCCATTGTTTACGGGACGTTAGACAATGGGACACCGGTTAGAAGCCCCGAGCATAAGCGACAGACAGTCCAATGAAAGTGGTCGAGCATCACCTTCTGTGCTGCTCTGATGTGCGTCTGAAGGAAACCCCGATGATTTCTCCAAACTGAAATCGTCCGATGGGCAACTTGTGATGCCTGTCTAACGAGGAGATCCTAACGACCACATGATCCGAAGCTTACGCCGTAACCAGTGCGGACAGACATACAAACCACCACATGAAGCGGTCTATACTTATTGGTCGCTGGCCGCTACCTGAGGCGGCTTATTTCAGCGGCCTAACCATGCATACGATGGTGGCGTAGACAGGCATTCTTCTAACTGGTATTCCGCAGTTCCTTAGGTCTGAGGGAGTCAGGCAGGCCTGCATTTGCGGTTGGTCACGCATGCGCCGTGGCTAAGACACTGCATTCCCTAGGCTGAATCAGCAATGACTGCTAGGCGGTTGGACAATTTTATACGATTGTTATTGCGACGACCATGGGGGACATTGTTCTCATTGAAGTAGCCAGACCAACCAGAAGCTGAACAATCTATGGGTGCTTAATTCTATCACAGTTGATGACTAAACACAAACGAAGATGATTCCAAGTGTGTCGGTGACAAGACATTAGTGAGTGTTTCTTTGTCTCCACACCCATGAACAACTTTGTTAATCAGTTATCGCTTCAGTGTCAACTGACATGGCGTTATTTGAAGGTCAAAGGGAGGGTGCGGAACCTATGTATTCATAGGATAATTAGACTTTACTTGCATATGGTCGCCTGTAGGTGTTGAGACGCTTTGACAAGTGGCTCTGCATATGGCACCATTACAAGCACAGTCAATGCAGATAGAACCTCCCTATTACTTCCATGAACTGGAATGCTATCCTCATGAAATCGACATTACTCAACAAAGAAACACCTAAAGGAGCCATAAAGACTACCGTGTTTATAACCGCCACATCGTCCAGTAAGAAGAAACGCAAAGGTCGAGAATTACTGGCGGCGCACGCATTTGATTCTGGTAATTAAGTCGAATACTTGGAACAGACAAACGCTGTTGTCTCACCCGCGGGCGTTCTTACAGCATATTTGCAATCATTTACAAACGCAACCGCGCCCATTAATCCTGCTGTGGATTACTGTTTCAGCCAGCCTTAGAAGCAGTCATGGGTGCACGCCATGACACGTTGTTATCGACTTAGCATCTACTCGGAAACATTTTGCCATTGTAAAGTAGGTAATTCCTGAGGCATTGTTGAAGGAGGACAATTGCTCCAAATCTTATACTTACATTGCGTATCCAGTGCTTGTTGGCAGTCATATCAGGGTCGTTGGGTCACATGGTATTTCAAGCTTATCAATCACATGGAAATAAAACGTAAATATCATGTCGAAACGAATGATTGACATGCATCGTATGACCTTTAAATAACCGAAAATCCATAGCCACGGAAGCGGTAACTGATTATCGAAGTGGCCCATATGTGTAAAGACGAATGAACGCTCACTAATATCGTCTCACCGCCACACAAGGAACTCTCTTAGTTGGAACAATGGCTACAGATCAAATGATGCTCTTACCTACCCAGGGAACTTGAACTTAGTATCTAATGCGCTGACTACATCAGCAGTACGTAGCTATACTATTCACGTGAGTGTACGACCAACTGAAACAACACAACGCGGGAACTTTGTATCAGTAAAAGCATTTAATTTGTAGTTGCGAACAAGTCCTAGCTTTATCTCCTCCATACGAAGTACTGTATTGTTTCTGATTACCTCACACTGACTTAACAATCAAATGCATTTCCTACAAGAAATCGCACACGTATCGATTCCCCAGATTGCTCGCGGTTGCACGATTACACTATGCATACCGTATCATGTGTGGCCAGGTAGGCAAGCGTGTAAGGAAGGTAATCGTACAGTCCACCAGTAAGCCTTCAATGCTTCTCTTCCAACAGCCTGCAAGCGTTGCAGACTCAACACAATCAACCAATCCGCTTCTTATTACTACTCACTTAGATGTTATCTGGCTCGCGTGGAGGTGAAATCTGCTTACGCCAGATTGGCAGCATGACCAATAAGGTATGATATCTCCGATTGGTTGATCACCCTCGACATCCTAGAAGTGTGTAGGTACACCGGTTGCGATCAACAGATGGGCGACCGATCAACCGAGCTAATGGTACAGCGAACCCGCAAGCCTGCTACCAGCCTGCAGGTAGTTTTAAACAAGACGACAATTGTTTCAAAATGTGCTCATGTTTAAAACTACTGGCACATTCCGTGCTGCACCAATGAGTGCCTGAAGGAAAGCCGAGGCGTTCTCACTGAAGTCAACAAACCGTCCAATCGATATGACCGCAAGCATCTGATCTCTTACCCTTGAACATTGGTTTGGCACCTGATCGCAAGCTCAGCGTTACATTGTATTTCGTACTATGTCCCAGGCCATTCAGGGTACGTGGCATGTCTTCGAAGGACTTTGATGATGGGTCTGGACTTGCTTGAACTCGGTTGCAGATCTGATTCAAGGGGATATCGAGGAGTTGCAACTTTTCAATCCAGTCGAGACCAAGAAGATTCAAATTCGACCGATCTGGAATGTAGCTCGTTCCCGATTTTTCCACACCTTTGAAAGGAATCTTGCAATTGAGTTCGCCTACTAAGTTTAACACACCGCTGGACGCATTATGTGCAACTTTCTTAGATTCGACCATCTTCGACCTCTTTATGTGATTTCATGTGTTCGTGGAAATAATCGTGATGTCCGAGGCCGTGTCAAATTGCAGTTTCGTTGGGATCCCATTGATCAACACCTTGATAGATCGTCGTCTCGGTTTACACTCACATTGGAAAGCGGCAACTATGGACAGAGACTATGCGCCATCCTTCCTAGAATTCCCCTTTCGATAAGACTTCTTCACTTTCTTCGACTAAAACTGATTGCAGAGTTCCTCCTTATGCCCACGCTTATGACACGTTTGACAAATAAGACGTTTGAACGGACAAAAGCGCGCGAAATGCCATTCGCCGCATGACCAGCATGTTGTGGGCGGTTTGTTCGTAGACCTCTTGAAGGGTTTGCTTGGGTTGCCAGTCCTGGCCGTTTTCACGAAGTGCACGGTATCCGGTGGTGCGAGACCATTCCGTTCGACCATGGCAGTGTCGTGTTTTAGAGTGAGCAGCCGTTCGCATTCACTTACGAGGGCATCCAGTGTCAGATCAGGATCCTGATCCAGCTTAGGTAAAAGCCGCGTGCGAATCTCAGCATCACTGGGGGATTGTAGACCGTTAACGAAAATGTGACACTTATACTGATCGTCCGTTAGAGAGACTCACAGTCTGTGTGT